GAGGAGGAGCAATATGAGGAGTTGGTTTACTGGTGTATTGGTTGATTGGTGCATGAAGGTGGAGGTACGTTTGGACCCCTCCCTGCAGCCGTCTTCGTTGGCCGAGGGGCTGCAGGGAGGTCCTCGGCCCCCTCCATTGGCTATTGACGCCGTAAAGTATTGGTGTATTGGTGTATTGGTGGGAGAGGGCGACCCCAGCGGCCCCTATGATGGCAGCCGCAGGGGGTGTGAGGCCTACGATGGTCCTCACTGGTGAGGCCTATGATGGTCCTCACCGCGGTGGGGGTAGGGGAAAAGGGCAGAAAGTCGAAGCAGATGTCAAGCAGCAACGTCCTGGGGGGATACCTGAATAGGGGACTTAAAAACAACGTCTGTCCTCCGCCTATGTTCCAGAGGAGCCCCGTTCAAAAAGCAGAGGCAGAGAGAGAGGGAGAGAAGAGAGAGAGGGAGAGAGGGAGAGAGAGAGAGAGAGAGAGGCAGAGAGAGGCAGAGAGAGAGAGAGGGAGAGAAGAGAGAGAGGGAGAGAGGGGGAGAGAGACAGAGAGAGAGAGAGAGGCAGAGACGAGGACAGATGTGCACGCCTCGGGGGGGGGGGGTCGGCCCCTGGACCCAGAAGATAGGAAATACATAGATTTCGTATCACAAGGTAGCTGGCAGCGAAGCTGCATCCTGGCACCCTGGGAGCGTGCAGCGGCAGGGATGCACCACCTGGAGTGCGAAAGCGAAACGTGGTGACGTTAACCTGGCCGAAGCCCGGTGACCAGAGGAGGCCCCCAGAGGCCGACAAGGGTCACAGGCTGGAGGTATCCACAACCTGTATCCCCGTGGGCGCGATTTATTTTCTCCGCCGGCACGGATGGACCGGTACACCCAAAAGCACGGAGATTCGACAGCGGATAGGCCGGTACACCCAGAAAAACATGGATGGATCGGTACACCCAAAGGCACTTATTGGCTTTATCCCATGGGGTGGAATACCCGCAGGGGCATACACCCATAACCCACGACACACACCACACAGAGACACACACACATACACACACGCACACACGACCACACCCCCCAGGGGCACACGACGAAAAAGATACAGCAAGAAGAGGACGCCTCGAACCTCGGAGCTGCGGCCAAAAGTCCTGACAGGGGCACCTGGAACGGGAAACCTGAAAGAGGAAAGCGGCTTGACCGGGGGACCTGAAGCCGAAGGAAAGCGACAGGGGAGGACGATCCAAGGCGGCCCCTGGACAGGTCTCGGAGAGGGCCGCTGCTCCGGACGTCTAGATTGGACGGCGGCTATACCCATCCTTAGAGAAAGGGGGGGGGAGGAGGAGGGGAGTAGGCCCAGCCACACACCTGCGCCCCAAGTGGCAGACGGAGGTGGCTGGGACGGTTTGACATGCCCGTCCTTGGAGAGCTCGGTTAAAGGGCGGGGAGCGGGAACGACCTCATGAGTGACGCCGCGGCGGCACATGTGACACCGCGGCGGCACGGGTCGAACCGTCACCCTTGGTGTACTGGTGTACTGGGTTGCCAACTGACGTCACAGAGTATTAGGTTACTGACATTGACAGGCACCGTCAGCCGGCAGGTGATAAATCCCGTTCACGGCCCCATGGAGGAATATGAGGAGTTGGTTTACTGGTGTATTGGTTGATGAAGGTGGAGGTACGTTTGGACCCCTCCCTGCAGCCGTCTTCGTTGGCCGAGGGGCTGAAGGGAGGTTCTCGGCCCCCTCCATTTGCTATTGACGCCGTAAAGTATTGGTGCATTGGTGTATTGGTGGGAGAGGGCGACCCCGGCAGACGCAGGGGGTGTGAGGCCTACGATGGTCCTCACTGGTGAGGCCTATGATGGTCCTCACCGCGGTGGGGGTAGGGGAAAAGGGCAGAAAGTCGAAGCGGATGTCCGGCAGCAGTGTCCTGGGGGGATACCTGAAAGGGGGACTTAAAAACAACGTCTGTCCTCCGCCTATGTTCCAGAGGAGCCCCGTTCAAAAAGCAGAGGCAGAGAGAGAGGGAGAGAAGAGAGAGAGGGAGAGAGGGAGAGAGAGAGAGGTAGAGAGAGGCAGAGAGAGAGAGGGAGAGAAGAGAGAGAGGGAGAGAGGGGGAAAGAGAGAGAGAGAGGTAGAGACGAGGACAGATGTGCACGCCTCGGGGGGGGGGGGGGTCGGCCCCCGGACCCGGAAGATACGAAATACACAGATGTCGTATCACAAGGTGGCTGGCAGCGAAGCTGCAGGAGGAGGAGGAGGAGGAGGAGGAGGAGGAGGAGGAGGAGGGGAGGAGGAGGAGGAGGAGGAGGGAGGAGGAGGAGGGAGGAGGGAGGGAGGAGGGGGGGGACGGGCAGTCCTCGTCGGAAGGTTAATCACCCCCGACCTCCAGATTATACCTCGCAGGACATCACGGTCGGCGTGGCGATGGCGGGGCGCCAGCACGCGCCCGAGCTCTCGCGGCTGGTGGGCTACTTCGCCAACGAGGTGGCGATCCGCGGCGACTTCTCGGAGGCGCGGGCTCGGCTTCCCCCCATCCCTCGCCTCCTCGTCCTCCTGCTTCCCCCTCCTGATTCCCTCCTCCTCCTCCTCTTTCTCCTCCTCCTCCTCTCCTCCCCTCCTCCTCCTCCTCCTCCCCTTTCCCTCCTCCTCCTCCTCCTCCTCCTCCTCCTCCTCCTCCTCCTCCTCCTCCCCCTCCTCGTCCCTCCTCCGCCGATCCCCTCGCATCCCTCTCCTCCTCCTCCTCATCCTCCTCTTCCTCCTCCTCGCCCTCGTCCTCGTCCTCCTCCTCCTCCTCCTGCTCCTCGTCCTCCTCCCTCTGCCCTCGAGTCGTCGTTTTGTCGGTGACGTCGTGCGCGTGTTGGCTGCTTCGGAGCAGGCAGAAGTCGTCGCGTTTGTCTTTTTCTCTTTCGTCTTCTTTTTCTCCTGGCCAGGGGGGGGGGCCCGGCGTGGCCCGCGCGTGGGGGGGGCCCGCGCGGCCTCGTGGGGACCTGGAGGGGGGTGCCTTCCATGGTGGAAAAGCATTGGCGCCGGCGGCGACCACTTGGTCCTGAGTTTCTCTTTTTCTTTTTTCCCAGGGGTAGGGCTGAGTCTGAGGGTGGGCCCTGGGTTTTTTTTGCAATCCTTCGTTCAAGTGAGGGCGGGGGGGCACGATTTGTTGCCCCTCCCGGCGGCAGAAGCAGCAGTCATCCAATACAGGGGTGTTGTTGAGAGATCGCCGCATGCATGCATGTGTTTTTGTTTGCCGTATCGCATTGCACGCAGTATTGTGTCGATCATGCACTTGCTGTGTTCGCATGCCGCTGCCATTTTCATTCGAGTCCTGACGAGCCCCAGCAGGGGCGAAACGTTGACACGCGTAGTGAAAAGGCACGGGCTTGAGAGCGCCATACGAGTAAGATTATCATTAGGTCTGGGTGAAGATATTTGGCGCATGCGGCGAGCTTGTAATCTGTGTTTCGCGAATGCATCTGCGCCCGCGGCGGGCTTGCACTCCCCGAAAGGTTTGTTGCCGGGGAAACGCGGCGTCTGCAGCGGGCTTGTGATCCCAAATCGGTCTTGGTGGAACAAGCGGCGCTCGCGGCGAGCTCGCAAGCATACTTTTTCGTAAAAGCACAGCGCCTGCGGCGGATTTGGCGCCGCGCGCCACGTTCCAGTTCACAGCGCGACGCGCCGAGACCACAGCGCCCCCTTGCTTCTATCCGAATTTGCGGGTCGGAAGAGAAGTCTGGAAGACGATGGCCCAACACCACAGGATGATCGGGCAAACGCTCCGATGGGGGGAATAGTATTCAACAATACCGACGGTAGCCTTTGCATAAGGTATGATAGATCCCAGTAGGCCTATACACCGGCTATCCAAAGGCCTACAATAGGCCTGTGGACAGGCTGGCCATAGGCATGTGGTAGGTCTATGGATACCTTATGCAGGGGCCTATGGGAGCCTCCGCCGTGGGGCCGCGGCGACCACAGTTGGGGTTGGGCGGAAGCGAACGAGGGGCGCCCGCAGCTGTGCTGCGGGTGTTTCCTGGACGCATCCGTGCTGTGCACCGAGCGTCTCGGAGCGTTGCGAGCCAGGTGGCGGGCGAGCTGCTTGCCGAGCGTGGCGCCACGGGCCGCTTTTTATAACACACTTCGGGACGTTGGTAAATCGTTGGCGTCCACCCGCGCGAATGAAGTTCGCCGGGGAGGCCGCGGAGGGAGTTGATTTAGTCACACCCCTGCCTTGCCTCAGCATCGCTGTCCCGCCGCCGCTGGACATCAATGACTTCCCGAAGCTGTTTCGGCTTCGGGCGCGAGGAAAAGACCGCCGCGCCCGCCGCGCGCCCGCGCGCCCGCTGGCCCGGCCTTCTTTGCTTATCGGAGTCCTAGCCATCTAGGGCAACGGCGGGCAGAAGTACATCCCCATGGGTCTGAGCATGGAACTGTTACATGAAGAAGATCATCATGAAGAACACGGACGCGCTTTGCCATTCAATCGGGTTGCGCAAGAACCCCTCCTGACGGAGCTGGCAAAACATTACAGGGTCGTGCTGGTAGACGAGATGTAGCGCAGTTTCCCGCGCGTCACTTTCACCCATTCCGAAGCGGTGCCCAGGCGACAGGCTCTGAGCAGGGTAGCATAGGAGCACGCAGCGTTCCAAGTAGAAGCGCGCACTTTAAGAATGCACAACCGTAGCTTCCTCGCGGCCTCGTCGTTCCGCACATCCCCGCCAGCTCATTCTGAGGAGATACATAGGCGAGTTGCCTTGCTCAGGGAAGCGTGGCAGCATGCAGTGTAGCAACATGCAGGGTAAGACAGATGGCCCGAAGATCGGCGACGCATGGCTCCAGGAGACTTCGAGGTCGACCCGGCGAGGGCTCCAAGAGGTGCCAACAGGGCCACCGACAAATCAATACCGTAGCACCCCGCATTTGCGGATAAGAGTGAGGGGGCGGCGGTGACGTCGGCAGTCTGCGGGGCTTCGAAGAAGCCCGCCGCAGGCGCAATATTTTTCAAGCTACACAACGAGCCCGCCGCAGGCGCCGATTTTTTTGTTCAGACAATGTAGGGGTCGCCGGTGGGTCGACGGTGGGTCGCGGGTGGGTCGCGGGCCGGGTCGCGGGTGGGTCGCGGGCCGGGTCGCGGGTGGGTCGCGGGTGGGTCGCGGGTGGGTCGCGGATCGGTCGCGGGTGGGTCGCGAGCGGGTCGCGGGTGGGTCGCGAGCGGGTCGCGGGTGGGTCGCGGGTGGGTCGCGAGCGGGTCGCGGGGTGGGTCGCAGGTGGGTCGCGAGGTGGGTCGCGGGTGGGTCGCGGGCCGGGTCGCGGGGGGGACGAAGACAACAACAACAAGCATCATCCTCACCACGGATCCGCACTTCAGCGTCGCACCCAGGGACAATGAATGACTGTTCGGCCCTTTCATTTTGATTTGTACACTGAACGCGGTTTGGGTCGCAGGTTTTCCACCTGGAACGAATGCAAAGGACACCCGCCGCAGGCGCCGAAATTTTGGCTTGTTCAGTGAACGTAGTTTGGGTCGCGGGTGGGTCGCGGGCTCTCCCCTCTACCTGGAAGTAATTCAAAAACAGCCCGCCGCAGGCGCCAAACATATTTATTTGTACACTGAACGCGGTTTGGGTCGCGGGTGGGTCGCAGGTTTTCCTCCTGGAACGAATGCAAAAGAAGTCCGCCGCAGGCGCTGAAAATTTTGGATGGGTCGCGGGGTGGGTCGCGAGTGGGTCGCGGGTGGGTCGCGGTGGGTCGCGGGTGGGTCGCGGGTGGGTCGCGGGTGGGTCGCGGGTGGGTCGCGGAGTGGGTCGCGGGTGGGTCGCGGGTGGGTCGCCGGGTCGCCGGGGGGGTCTCGGGGTGGGTCGCGGGTGGGTCGCGGGTGGGTCGCGGGGCGGGTCGCGAGCGGGTCGCGGGGTGGGTCGCGGGTGGGTCGTGGGGTTCGCGGGTGGGACGACGACAACAAACAACAAACAACAGCAACAACAACAACGAAAATCCGCATCGCGGATTTCCACTTCAGCCACGCACCCAAGGACAGTGAATGACCGTTCGGTGAGGGGCTCAGGAAGGCCCCAAGTACGGCGTGCAATTGCACAGCTTACTTGGGGCTCTTTGGGGGCCCTCCTGGGATAGTTTTGGAACTTCGAGGCGGTCCCAGGAGGTCCCTGAGTCGAGGAGGAGGAGGAGGAGTCGAGGAGGAGGAGGAGGAGGAGGAGCAGAAGGAGGAGGAGAGTGCCATGTGCCGTCTGCCAGGGTTTCATTTTTGAAATTCGGCGGCACCTCTCACGCAGATCGGCAGGGTCAGGGTCCAAGGCTCCTCGGAGGGGCCAAGTGGGCCCCAAGAAGGCCCCAGGAGATCCCCAAGACGGCCCCAAGGACGGCGTGCAATTGCACAACCTCCTTGGCGCGCTCTTGGGGCCCTGTTGGAATTGCGTTGGGGCTTCCGGGGTTTCTCTGGAGGGCTCCAGAAGGGTCCCAAGAAGACCCTGCGAGGGCGCCAGGAGGACCCCAGAGGGGGCCCAGAAGGAGCCCGAGAGGGCCCCAAGACGGCGTGCAATTGCACAACTTACTTGGGGTTACGTGGGGCTCTCTTGGCGCCCTTTTGGACTCTTCTTCGGGCTCTCTTTGAGCCTTGCTGGGCCCCTCTAAGGCCCTCTTGGGACCTTTCTGGATTCTCTTGGGGCTCCAAGTGCCTGGGGACAGAGACTCCCAGAAACGATCTACGCTTGGAGGATTGGTGGGATTGTTGGGGCATTGCATGGCATTTCAAGGTCGTTTGCAAAGTGGCTTTGCTGGGGGGTCCAAAATATTGCAGGATTGCGTTGCATGGTATTGAAGGTGTCTGGTGTGCAGGGCATTGTAGGATGTACGGTCGTTTGGAAGGGCATGCAGAGCATCGCAGGGTTCGCGGAGAGTCGTTCCTTCCTTTTGCAGAGTATTGAAGGGGTTGTAGCAAATTCGAGGGGAGATGGTAGGGATAATGATTTGCAATGGAAGTTAAACATCACATACTCTCACTTATCTAAACTCGCTCAGAGGGCGGGTGGTATTCGTGTTTTTTGTATACGATCGCCGTGCCCGCCCTCTTGTGGCCCTCCTGGGGTCCTCTTGGATTCGTCTTAACCGCCCAAGTGCCGTTGGCCACGCGCGCAGGTGCAGCGCACACGCACGCACAGTACAACCACACACGTTCACTCATTGTTTCGATGTGTATATATATACATACACACATACCTATACGACCACCCTTCGGGTGATAAGGAGGTTCGGGGGGGAGGAAGCAACGTCTCGCTCGATCGGTCTCACTATCGATCTCGCTCGATCGATCTCACTGGATCGATCTCACAATCGATCTCACTGGATCTATTTCAATCGATCGATCTCACAATCGATCTGACTGTCGATCTCACAATCGATCTCACTAGCGATCTCACTATCGATCTCACAATCGAGCTCACATTCGGTCTAACTATCGATCTCACTATCGATATCACAATCGATATCACAATCAACGCCATCGTCAT